AAACAACTAGGTTACCATCAGTGGCGGATATAGAGAGAATAGCAAAATTCATAAAGATAAAAAGTGCGTGCAAAGAGGAAAAAGATGATGACGACGATCAAAGCGGGAACGGCTGATTAATGGAAAGAAAGAAAAAAGTAAAGGAAAAAAAGATTTGAAGACAAAGAAGAAGATAGTAGGAGGGGATGATAATAAAGAAGGTGGTTGTAATGATGAATATGAGGCCGGCGATGATGATAGTGATAAAAAGTGATCAATGATAATCTGATAGAAAATAAAGAAAGGGTGAGGTGGATACAGACAAAATATAAACATGAAAATAATAATGATTATTATTATGATCGATGATAATAATAATAACTTGATGAGACAAAGATACCGAATGTAGACCCAACTAGAAGATGAAAAAGAAGAATAAGATAAAGAAAAAGAAGAAGAAGAAGAAAAGAAGAAGAAGAAGAAGAAGAAGAAAATAACATTATTAGCATCAGCACCATCGATATATTTTTTAACGACCCATAGAAAGTATTCCTCCCTCACTCCTTTCTGTTCATTTACTTTTCTTACCCCCCCCCCCTTTTCCTGCAGCCCCCCCCCCCCCCCACACACACACACACACACACGCGCGCGCGCGCATCATCATCATCGACCAATATTTGATTAAAGTATTATTTTAAACGTGAGTACCTCCACCCTTGCTCCACCCTGGCTCCACTCACCTCGTTTCCCAAACCAATTTGCCTCGGTTGGTGAGGAGATGCAGTTAATGGTGAAAGCCAGCACGACCATCAAGGCAACAACCGTTGACATTTTCCAGGCACTACCACTTTCTTCCTGAACACGAAACTGGGTTTTTTATAAACACTTGGGTGCTGAAAATGAAACGTAAACTTCGTGAATGATTTTAGTTTTTACGTTTTCTTCTTTCTGAAAGTAAAACCTAAAAAAATTCATATTTTTTTTTAAAAACCCTTTGCTTTTTGTTCTGTCTTAAATGTAAACATACAAACCCTTTATGATTTTTTTTTTCTAAAGAAGTGAAACATGAGACTGCAGGCGCGACGGAACTTAGTGGCTCAGGCATCTTAGCCCACACCCATTCCTTATCCACACAAATCAAACTGGAAGTTGGGGCGTCTCCTAATAATATTTAGGTAGGTTGTGGGGCGTTGGATAGAACACACACTGAGAAAACAGGAGAACAGCATAACTAGAAAGTCTTTGAATTGGAACCCACAGGGACATAGGAATAAAGGAAGGCCAAAAAACACACGGAGAAGAGAGCTGGAGAATGAAGTTAGAAAGATGGAGAGGACATGGGGAGAGCTCCATGCAAAGGCGAAGGATAGAACGACTTGGCGTGAGTTGGTTGAGGGCTTATGCTTCATTGGGGGATAGAAAGGCAGAAGAAGAAGGTTGTGGGGGAGCCCTCCGTCTCATGTCTGTAGAAAATTTACAAAGGGGTTAAACTTCCCTAACCAGGTGTAAATTTTCCCTTTTTGAGTATTTATTGTATTTTTACATTTAATATTATTTCAACTAACAGAATACGTGATAATAACTAAACAGGAAAAGGGTATAGACTCCGGCACATATGAGTCGATAATATGAATATCAAACAAACGGAAACATAAGTTCTTGTTTGCAAACTTCAACTGTTCCAACATGCTGAGAGAAGAAATACAATCTAGAATACAATCTGGAAATAAAATATACTATGCCCTTCAACATCTGCTAAAGTCAGTGTCTGTCTCGCAACATTAAGATCAAAATGTAAAAAACATTGACAAGACCAGTCGTTTTATATGGTTCTGAAACTTGGAGCACAACTAAAAGAGATGAAGCCTTATTACAGGTTTTCGAAAACAGAGTCTTAGGACGAATCTTTGGACCCATCAAAAATACAAACAGCGGGTAATGGAGAGTGAGAATCAACAACGAAATTCATAATCTGTTTAAATCACCACTGATCACTGGCATCATGAGAGCTAATAAACTGAAATGGTTGGGGCATATTGAGAAAAGACTGTCAGATGAGAGAGAAGTGAAAACTGTATACACAAGGGAGTTAAATGGTCGTAGACCACGAGGCAGACAGAGAAGACGATGGAGAGATAATGTCCAGACAGACCTGCAAACACTTGGTGTCACCAAATGGAAAGAGAAGGCAAACCAGAGAGTTGAATGGAGGCGGGTGATATCGGCAGCAATAAACCTCAAGGGCTCGGAAAGCTGAAGAAGGCCAACCAGAGAGATGAATGGAGGCGGGTGATATCAGCAGCAATGAACCTCAATGGCTCGGAATGCTGAAGAAGAAGATTATTTCAACTATGTTATGTTTTTTTTTTTTTTGGCACATATTAGTAATAATCATCATGTTATTATGCGCAGTTAAACAAAGTATAAGCCCCAGGACAGACCCCTCCCCATTTACAGTTATAGAGGGGTTGACTACCCTAACCCCTATGTTATCTATTTGTTATCACTTCGACAGTAATTTTTAACTCTTTGCCTTTGTTCTTTCTTAAATTGAAGCATAACAAACGTCTTTTAACCTTTTATTTCTATTCTTTCCTAAAAACAACAAGCTTCATCCATGTTTTCAAACTAATTACTTCAATTCTTTATGAGAGAAAGGAATTTTTTTTAAAATTTCGTTGGCAATTAAACTCTTCTCCATTGTTTAATTCGAGTGACGTAAATGCATTGCGTCTGTTTACGGCGTAGCTGCTATATTTGCGCCCCTTCGGCCGATACATCCGACTTGTTCTGGCATTTTTTATTTTGTTTACCTTCTTTGGGCGGGGATATTAACCCGTTACAATATTTTTACAGAAAGTAAAACATATTAAAATTTGTAGGTGATTTTTAACATTTTACCTTTTATATATATATATATATATATATATATATATATATATATATATATATATATATATATATACATATATATATATATATACACACACACACATTTAATAATCGCCGATAAAATGAAAAAACAAATGGTCTTGCTAACAGTGCCAAAAGTCGGACTACAAATCTGTCACGAAAAGAGAAATACACTGAATACAGCAGGGGTCATCAAATTAAAAAGAAAACGCTAGGTGGCGGGAAAGTCACATTAACCCGCCTCATACATGTTCTTGAGGAAAGTCTGAACAGGTCTATGCTTGATGTGAGTGTGTAATAATAATAATGAAAATAATAATAGTGCACAGTGGTAAATGAACATTGTTAAACATTATATGAAGCATATACTCAGGGTTGTTTTCAGAATAATTGCCCTTACTCGCCAGAAAATGTGTAAACAGGGTGCTAATACTCTATTACTGTAGCGCTGAAAAATAAGGCCACCTTCCCCCTCCCCTCTCTTCCTGCCAACGGTGCCGGTAGTTCAAACCGTTGCGTACGGTCAGAAACAGACTGAATTTTAAAAAGCTAAAAATTAAAAAAAAAATAAAAAAAAACTACAGGTGAAAGTTTAAACTTATTAGACGTAGACAATCAATATTGTTCTTCTTCGCGTTCGCCAGCTGTAAACCCCAGCGGGAAAGCTCTGGTTGTTCGTCCACTTCTGGACTATAGTCCTGTTCCAGAAACTGAGTCTTCTTCTTCTGCCTTTCTATCCCCCAATGGAGCATAGGCCCTCAACCAACTCACGCCAAGTCGTTCTATCCTTCGCCATTACATGGAGCTCTCCCCATGTCCTCCCAATCTTTCTAACCTCATTCTCCAGCTCTCTTATCCATGTGTTTTTGGCCTTCCTTTATTCATATGCCCCTGTGGGTTCCAATGCAAAGACATTCTAGTTATGCTGTTCTCCTGTTTTCTCAGTGTGTGCCCTATCCAACGCCAGCGTCTTTTCCTCACCTCCTGGTCCACTGAAGCCTGTTTAGTTCTCTCCCAAAGTTCTACATTAGTTATTCTATCATACCATTTTATTCCCTCTATTCTGCGCAGGCACCAGTTAATGAATGTCTGTAATTTATTAGTAATTGCCTTGGTTGTTCTCCATGTTTCCGCCACATACAATAGTACTGATTTGACATTAGAATTAACAATTTTTAGTTAAGTATTTCTTTTAATTTCTTTTGACCTCCACATTTTCCCTAGTGCTATGAAAGCCCCTCTTGCCTTTTGTATTATTATTTTAATATCTCTATCAGTTCCTCCATCTTTATCTACATTACTGCCTAAATAGGTGTACGACTCCACGTCTTGGAGTGGGGTGCCATTAGGAGAAACCACATTACTATTTGCCTGATTTGTTCTCATTATCTTTGTCTTTCCTTTATGGATTTTTAGACCAAGCTGCTGTGATCTCGCATTAAGTATATTTAATTTATCTTGTATCTGATTCCGTGAATGGGTCAGAAGGGCAATATCATCAGCGAAGTCCAGATCATCAAGCTGTTTTGTAGGGGTCCATTGAATTCCATTCTTGGTGTTAGCAGTTACTGTTTTCATAGTCCAGTCTATAGCCAGTAAAAATAAGAGAGGCGACAAAAGACATCCCTGTCGCACACCTGTTTTTATTTCAAATGCATCTGTTAGCTTTCCCTCGTGAAGAACTCGACATTTCATGTCTTTATATGTTGCCTTTACTAAGTTGATAATTTTCTGTGGGATTCCATAGTGCCCCATCAATTTCCAGAGAGATTCCCTATCAATGCTGTCAAATGCTTTTTCATAGTCTATAAATCCAATGTAAAGTGGTGAGTTCAGTTCAATGCTTTGCTCTATTATAATATGTAATGTGGCTATCTGATCAGTACAGGATCTGTTTGACTGAAAACCTGCCTGCTCATCTCTTAGCATTTTATCAATAGCATCTTTTAATCTTTCCAAAATAATTCTACTTAATATTTTTCCAGGAACTGACAGCAACATAATTCCTCTATAGTTTTCACACTCCTGTAGATCACCTTTTTTGGGCATTTTCACAAGATATCCTTCTCTCCAGTCTGCTGGTATTTCTTCGGTCTCCCAGACTTTACTGAATAATCTATGTAGCAATTCTGTTGATGTGTTTATGTTGGTCCTGATGGCTTCAGCTGGGATACCATCTGGGCCTGACGCCTTTCCTTCCTTAAGAAGATTTATAGCTTTTCTAATTTCCTTTTTGGATGGTATCTCACAGTTGATATCCAGTTCCATTTCTAAAGGCTGGATATCTGGGGAAACCTCTCGGTCTGGTCTATTTAGAAGCATTTCAAAATATTCAACCCATCTGTCCATTTGATCTTTAGTGTTAGTAAGTACCTTTCCTTGACTATTTTTGATTGATCCAGTTGGCTGACTATATTTACCTACTAATTTTCTTGTGTTACTGTAAAGATCTCTGAGGTTTCCTTTTGCTGCTGCTGTCTCCGCTTCTTGTGCTAGATCATTTTGATATTTCACTTTATCTGCCCTTATATGCCTCCTAACTTCCTTGTTGGCTTCTGTGTAATTCTCCTGAGCTCTAGCTTTAGCAGCTCTAGTTTTGCTATTGTTTAATTCTGCTTTTTTACTTTTCCTATCTTCAATCAGTTTAATGGTTTCTGGTGTTATCCATGCTTTATGTTTTCTTTCTTTCTTGCCAAGAACTACGCAAGATTCATTCCAGATTCCTTTGATCTGATCCCAGCAGACTTCTGTGTTGACATCTTCAGCTAACTGCTGCAACACCTGGTACTTATTAGAGACCGTAACTGAGAACTGTTCCTTAATTTCTTTATCTCTGAGAAAGCCTACATTATATTGGTTTCTATGATTTTAAGATGTTATATATCTTTTTAGTTTCAACTTGATTTTACTTATCACCAGGAAATGCTCAGTAAATACATCGGCACCTCTGAAAGCCCTAACATCGTAAAGGGATGATCTAAACTTTTTGTTAATACATATGTGGTCAATTTGATTAGTTGTCTTATGGTCTGGTGATTCCCATGTTGCCTTGTGTATTCTTTTATGAGGAAAAATACTTCCACCAATAACATACTGGTTACCTGCACAAAAATTTGTGAACAATTCTCCATTTTCATTCATTACTCCTAGACCATGTCTCCCCATAATTTCTTCATAACCTGTGTTGTCTGATCCTATCTTAGCATTCAAGTCACACATCAAAATTTTTAAGTTGCCCTTTCTTTCATTATTTATAATATTTTGAAGCTGCATGTAAAATTCTTCCTTAACAAATGCATCTTTATCATTTGTTAGTGCATAACACTGTATTACCGACATGTTCACCTTCTGTTTTACTGTTCTAAAAGATGCTCTTACTATTCTGGGACTCACAGCTTCCCATTCTATTAGTGCCCTGTCTGCTTCTTTTGATAGCATCAGGGCCACTCCTTCACTGTGCGGCGAATTTTCCTCTGTGTGTCCTGAGAACAAAATAGTTTCTCCTGAATTAAGAATACTTTTCCCTGTCCCAGTCCATCTAGTTTCACATAACCCCAAAATACTAATTCTATAATGTTTCATTTCCTTTGCTACTTCCATTGTTCTCCCTATATCATAGAGAGTTCTAACATTCCAGGTGCCAATTCTGGAGGTTTTCCTAGCTGAGAGGAGGTAAGTCAACGATCCGGACTCCTTACGGCTATCTCCACACCGTGTCATACTTCTTCTATTTGAAGAGCCTCCCCTCATCTTGGTTGGCTGGATTTTATTTGCTTCTCTTTTTGACTTATCTATGGTTGGTTGGTTTTTGTGGCTATGGTTTTTACAGGATGAGGTAGCCAACCTCAAGCCCAACCCTACCCTTAGTCGCCTCTTACGACATGCCTGGTAGGGTGCAGTGTCACTATTCTTTGCTTCCTGTGAGGGCCCCGGTGACACACGGGCGAGAAACTGAGTGTTACGTGTATATCTGTTTCTTCAGCTAACTGCTGCAACACCTGGTACTTATTAGAGACCGTAACTGAGAACTGTTCCTTAATTTCTTTATCACTGAGAAAGCCTACATTATATTGGTTTCTATGATTATAAGATGTTATATATCTTTTTAGTTACAACTTGATTTTACTTATCACCAGGAAATGGTCAGTAAATACATCGGCACCTCTGAAAGCCCTAACATCGTAAAGGGATGATCTAAACTTTTTGTTAATACATATGTGGTCAATTTGATTAGTTGTCTTATGGTCTGGTGATTCCCGTGTTGCCTTGTGTATTCTTTTATGAGGAAAAATACTTCCACCAATAACATACTGGTTACCTGCACAAAAATTTGTGAACAATTCTCCATTTTCATTCATTACTCCTAGACCATGTCTCCCCATAATTTCTTCATAACCTGTGTTGTCTGATCCTATCTTAGCATTCAAGTCAACCATCAAAATTTTTTGTAGCTATGGTTTTTACAGGATGAGGTAGCCAACCTCAAGCCCAACCCTACCCTTAGTCGCCTCTTACGACATGCCTGGTAGGGTGCAGTGTCACTATTCTTTGCTTCCCGTGAGGGCCCCGGTGACACACGGGCGAGAAACTGAGTGTTACGTGTATATCTGTTTCACAGGTCTACGTTTTTTGCATGCAGACTGTTGGTTCCTTGCCTCTCAGGCAGATGTACTCCGACTTCGAAGGAAGCTCCCAATTAGTCGACTCTTACGACAACAGTCAATATTTTTTTGGACATATTATGAACTGGAATGGACTCGTCAACTTCTGTGGCTTAGGCGTTGCGAACGCGCTTCGTAATGCCGAGGTACCGGGTTCCGTCCCAGCTGCGGGACTTTTGCCTTGCGTTGGTTTCGACAGTGGTATCGACAGTGGTATTGAGAAACCGACCGTCCAGGAAGCAGTGGCAAACTACAGGATATAAATTTGCCTAGGACAACTGCAATAGCCAAAAAATTGCTGGGGTTGTTTCTGCAATGATAAGTAAAAAGATACGCAATTAACTTTTTTAATAGACTCGAGAACGTGGCAACATCTGGAATGATTGATGGAAACAGAATTTAAAGAAAAACAAAGAGTTAAACATCTGGATGAAGAGCCCTCGTAACAGCATAATGGACCCCTAGGCAAACCAGTATGCTGCGGCCCCTACAACAGCCACTAATATAAATGGAAATTGTATTTATGGCAAGTCGTTCGCAATCAGGCATTACGTCAAGATCTTGAAACCAGGCCTTACAAGCCGTGTGGATCAGTCACAGTGATAACGTTTTGGAAATGTATGCAGAATGGGAGAAAATCGGCGGCCACCAAGACAGGAATGAGAGGCTAAGAACTAGGGAACCTGATCCCCAGAGTGACCAAGGGTTCGCTGAGAAGATAACATCCGACAGTCCCTAACTGACAGAGGACTTGAAAGGAACAAAGTTAGTTGCGTATCCTTTACAGGACGTTGCAGAACCAACCCCAACAGCCCCTTGCTGTTGTGTGGGTTTTCTAGGCAAATTTACGTCTAGTAGTTTGCCATTGCTTTCTGGGCGGTAACTTTCTTGATGCCACTGTCGAAACCAACGCAAGGCGCATGGCCCGCAGCTGGGATCGAACCCGGCATCCCGGTATTATGAAGCGTTCGCATCGACTTAGCCACAGAGCCGACGTGAATGGAACTGATATAGACGTCTGGCGATCTCTGTGGCAAACTTCTACACCCCAAGGTAGAAGATGGGCCACTAAGTAAGTAGAGCGAGTCACTTGACATACTCAGATTAGCATGGGGTCTTTGATGCTCGTGAGACCCCAGGGCAAGTGCCCAGCGAGCCCATGCTTTAAGACTAGATGGATGGGGCGAGACAAAACACTGATCTGATCCGTGATTCTGGTGATCGCGTAGTAGGTTCTGTAGCTGCTTTACTTGGGAAAATAACGTCATTGTTCAACCATCATCCCCGAAGAGGAAGCTTAAGGTTATAATTGTGGCTAGGTCAGTCATGTGCGTCATATAAAATTGCTTTGCATTGCATGCCACCAAGAATTCCGAAAAGAACTCCAGTTTTGATGCGATCAAAGGAGACAGACTAAAATACTGTCCCGACGAGCGACGAAGTCGCCTACTGGCAAGTCAATGGGTAACCCGTCGCCGATGTGTGTTTGTTTTCGTGATGACCGTTTGAGTTAGTGAAACATGACAGCCTACGCTTACCAGTGCGGCACATAATAATGATAACGAAAAGCGGTCTGTTACCAAATTACATGCAGCTGACTTAAAACCCATGTACAGTGGTGCGTTGGAATTATTATTTTTTTGACATCGTCCTCAAAGGCGCAGTTGGTGTGTTGTATTGTAGTTTACAGTTAGGTTGCGTTTTCTGCCCCCTTTGCTACATCATCATCATCATCATGTAGCAGGTCCTTTGCAGAACGTCGCTCTCATCACAGTCTGCCTGAAAGAAACTCGGTCTCTCGCCAATTCTCCCGCCTCATGTACTTTCACACTCAAGAAGTCACTTATATCCTGTGTCCATCTTCGTATCGGTCGGTTCCTGCCCCTTCTTCCTGGTAACATGCCTTCTGCTAGAATTTTTTTTCAATCCGTCGTTGCGCTTCCTCTGCCACAACTCGTCCTGAACCTCTTTAGTTGCCTATACCAACATGCCTATTAGAAAAGTCCTATTAAAAGAGTCCTATTAAAAGAGTCCTATTAGAAGAGTCCTATTAGAAGAGTCCTATTAGAAGAGTCCTATTAGAAGAGTCCTATTATAAGTGTCCTATTAGAAGAGTCCTATTATAAGTGTCCTATTAGAAGAGTCCTATTAAAAGAGTCCTATTAGAAGAGTCCTATTATAAGTGTCCTATTAGAAGAGTCCTATTATAAGTGTCCTATTAGAAGAGTCCTATTAAAAGAGTCCTATTAGAAGAGTCCTATTATAAGTGTCCTATTAGAAGAGTCCTATTAAAAGAGTCCTATTATAAGTGTCCTATTAGAAGAGTCCTATTATAAGTGTCCTATTAGAAGAGTCCTATTAGAAGAGTCCTATTATAAGTGTCCTATTAGAAGAGTCCTATTAGAAGAGTTCTATTAGAAGAGTCCTTTTAGAAGAGTCCTATTAAAATAGTCCTATTAGAAGAGTCCTATTAAAAGAGTCCTATTAAAAGAGTCCTATTAGAAGAGTTCTATTAGAAGAGTCCTATTATAAGTGTCCTATTAGAAGAGTCCTATTAAAAGAGTCCTATTAGAAGAGTCCTATTAGAAGAGTCCTATTAAAAGAGTCCTATTAGAAGAGTCCTATTAAAAGAGTCCTATTAAAAGAGTCCTATTATAAGTGTCCTATTAGAAGAGTCCTATTATAAGTGTCCTATTAGAAGAGTCCTATTAAAAGAGTCCTATTAGAAGAGTCCTATTATAAGTGTCCTATTAGAAGAGTCCTATTAAAAGAGTCCTATTATAAGTGTCCTATTAGAAGAGTCCTATTATAAGTGTCCTATTAGAAGAGTCCTATTAGAAGAGTCCTATTAGAAGAGTCCTATTCTTTGCTTCTTCCCACAAATGGGACCCTGGAATACATATGGGGTAATTTTTTGCTTAAAAACAAAAACACTGCTTGAGGACAGTCTTCTTCTTCTTCGCGGTCATCAGCTGTTAACTATGGTAGAAAGTTCTAGTTGTTCGTCTACTTTTGGACCTCAGTCCTGTTCCTGAGTGTTGCGTGTGCACCCGTGTTACAGATCTGACTCATTTGTATGCAGACTGCTGGTTACTAGCCTCTCTTGCAGATGCACTCTGACTTCGAAGGAAGCTACCAATTAGTCGACTCTTACGACATGCTTTCGGGTAGGCAGTGGGTCTGTTCTATTTTCCCCCCTGGAATAGGGCCCTGGAACCAACGCGGAGAGCTTAAGGGCAGTGAATCCACATCACTGGCCAGAATGATAGAGAATGATAGACTTTGGAGTTAAGATCGGCATAGCAAAAACAACAACAAAACGAGACGCACACCGCCGGGCACACCAGAAGACTTGTTAATCAACATAGAACTGGTACGATTAGCCACCGGTTGATAGTTACCACGCTGGGGTTCATACTGAGGGGAGAATGTGAGCACCTATAGTCGTGTAAGGAGTGCAATGATGATGGCCCAACTAACTAACTAACTAATTGCTGAATCAACTTACCTCACAAACGATGTCTACTTCCTAGTAGCTACAGTTCTTGTGCTTCTTCAACATGCAACTAAGGAACAATACTTTTGTATGTGAAAATTCTACCCCGGCAAAAAACTCTTTTCAGTTATATTTCCTCTAAAGCTTTTTTTTTTTTTTTTAATTACAGTTGAAAAACTCAAAAATATAACACTGCTAATTGTAGAACAATATTTTAAATTAAGTCTCACTTCCTTGTTGTTTTTGTTTTAAAGATGGTGTAACTAAGTTGGTATTGTACTTAGAAATAAAGGAAGAGAGAGTGTTCATAAGTCAGTGCTTTAAATATGTGCGCAAAATACCGGGGGGTTGCCTAACGCATGCGCGTGGAGTCTGAGGTTCCAGGATGTAGAAGGGTTTTCACCGTTAAGAAAGATTTGGGAAGGAAGAGAGCGATAGTAAAGGAGAGCAAGGTGGTTACAACCCAGGAGTCCAGGCAGGGCTGGATGAAGCCGTACGGGATATAAAGTCATGAGGTCCCTATCGTTTTAAATGACACCAATTAATCTCGGGTAACATTAAGA